CGCCCCGCGGGTGGTGGGGGCAGCCCGCTGACCCCAGGGCCGCAGGCGGGGGGCAGCAGACAGCCTGGCCTGGCGTGGGGAGGGGCCGCGGGCTGCGTGGTCACGAAGCGCCGCTCAGGGCCCATGGCCAGGACACAGCTGCTGGGCTGGGTCCTGCACTCCAGTCACCTCCCCGGTGGCTGGCCGCCTGCCCAGTCTTCTTTCCTGGGTCCTTTTCACACGATGGAGACTCTGGAGCATTCTCTCTGCTGTGCCAAAAGCCAGTCAGGAAGGGACAGGAGGGACAGGTGAGGGGAAGTGTCCTCTCAGCTGTGACAGGGACAGATCTATTTATTTTGGTTAAAAAACAGCAGAAACAACTTTGCATTGCATTTGGCTTGACCCATAAACTGAGTGGTCCGCGGGCCTGTCTGCTGTCATTTTTTCCACCTGGTCACATCCCTGGAGGCCAAGGCTGCCCACGCCCCTGCCCAGCCCACCTGTGTCCCTGCAGAGCTGAGCACCAGCTTCTGTCTGCCTGTCCCCATCGTTGATGCAGGCAGATCGTGTCCGGGGCACCTCTTCTAAGCCTCCCCTGCTCCCCGGTCCCTGTCCCCACTCCACTTAAGAAGCTGCTTTGGTCTGTGCTTGGTCTAGGTGTCTGGTGGGTCCTCTTGAGGCATCTGTTGTCATTCAGCACCCCACTACCGGAAGCCCAAGCAGGGTAGGGCAGCTGGCCATGCCAGCAGTGCCCCCATGGAGCCCATGTTCCTCTTCACAAGAGTTTCACTGTAGAGCCCACAATGTCCCAGCCATGGCCTCTTAGAGTCAGCAGGTCTCAGCACTGAGGGAGAGCTTCGGGGAATGCCTGGGGGTAGACATGGGGCTCCCTCCAGTAGCAGGGCCCGCTGATGCTCACCCTGTCTAAGCCACACGAGGGTCCTTCGTCCTCGAAGCCTCTTCAGAGCCTGCCTTTTGCCCTGTGTTCCCTGCAGCTTGTCCAAGGACCCGCCGGCCCCAGCATGGTGGAGCCTCTGTGCCCAGGAGCACACATCTTCTGAGTGCAGTGTGGTTGGCGAGTGGGTTTGAGCTAAGAGCCGAAGCACAAGGTGGCTTTTGTTGCTGACTCTAGGCTCACGAGCTCTGTCCCCTGCCCACTGCACATGGGCTAGGGTTCCACTTGCCCTGCAGCATGGCACCCAGCCTCTCACTGCTTCCAGTCTGTCTGGGGACAGGGTGGAGCCGGGCACCACAGGGTGGGGGCCACAGGAGCAGAGTTGGGGGCTGGGGTCATCTGAAGGTCTCCCACTCCCGTGGCTCACTGTGGGCCTACAGCCCTGCCCCATTCCAGGAAGATGGGGTCACAGGCCCGGAAAGGTGAGGGCCGTCAGACACACCGAGCCTACAAACACTTCTAGGTGGCCATGTTCTGCTTGGGTTTTCAGTGGCATATTTCCCAGAACCAAGAAAGCAATCGTGAGAGGAAAGAAGCTTCAAAGTCCGGGGGACCCAGGCCGTGCGTGCGAGTGCACGTGTGCACAGGCACGGGTGCGTGCCTGAGTGGTTCGTGCGTGTATAAGTGTGGGCCTGTTGACCAGGTTCCCTGGGCCCTTGTGGACGGACAGCTGCACCACCGAGGAGATGCTGACCACGGGGGAGTCACTGGCACAGGGCTGAGGCCTCACCCATCGTGGGCTCCCATCAGTGCCCAGCTGCCATGTGGTTCCGTCTTCAAGGGAGTTAGAGTCAATGTGAGTCCGGTCTGCTGCTGCTCAGCTGGGACTGGGAACCCTCGAAGCTAGCCCAGCTTCTCAGGTTTCCACTGTGGCTCCACGCAGACCCCCTGCCCACATCCCCAAATGAGAGCAGAGTGGGGGTCCCTCCCCTCCACGAATGGCCTCCCTCGGGGCCCTTTTCAAATTAGGGTGCCAGTTTGAGGTGTGTGACGATGAATGGGTGCTTGTGTATATCGTGACATGATCACCATGGAAGTCCAGGGACCATCCGTCACTCAGTTACAATTGTTCCTTGTGATGAGAATGAGATCTGCTGGTGACTTTCGGGCATGCAGTGTAGTATTGCCAGTACAGGTGCCAGGCGTCCGTCACGCTCCCAGCCCCCAGGGCCTCGACAGCCCTCCTCCCCTGCTCCCACCCTCCACAAGCCTCCACTCTGCTGCCTGGGGCAGACTTGCTGAAGGGGAGGCCCCGTCCCCAGCCCAGAGCTGGTCCCCCACCCTTAGTGGCCCTTGGTCTGCATACATAGCTCCCAGGTGTCCCTTCTCTTGCCCTCCACTCTGCTCTGACCTGGGGACCACCCTGGTGGGAAATGCAGAGCACCCAGGTCTGGGGGACTTGGTAATCTGTGGCCCTGGTCACCAGAGCGGGGCTCTGGGCCGACCCTCTATCTCGTGACCTGTTCTGATTTCCCTGCGACCCTCCTCTCCCTGTGGTCTGACGTAGTCTCAAGAACAGCATTTCGAAGGAGTCGCTCAGCCAGTTCCTGCCCTGCGGTGGGCGGGCCTTCTCCAGACACCAGGTGGAGAGCAGCTTCTGCCAGCTGCAGGCCTCCTTGGAGCCATCCAGAGAGCCCTGGCCTCTGCCATTGATGTGTCCCAGACAGATAGTTTCATCTTCCTAATAGTGTGGCAGGAAAAGGAAAAAAGCGTCTCAGAGACTCAAGAGAACAAAGAAATTTGATTTTAATATCGTTTAGGTTCTTCCTCCCTGGTGGTCTAAGATGCCTTTTTTTTTTTTTTTTTTAATTTCCTTTCTACTTAGACAACTTATTCTAGCTGTTCTTTTAAGGATAGGTCTGCTAAGACTGTCTTGACTGCTTCCTAACTCCTGAAGGACATGGGACTCTGGGCTGATGGCTCCTGCCTTTCAGCTCTGATCTGCTTCTGGCTCCGTGCTTTCTGGTGAGAAATTTTCTCTCATATTAATCATCCTGCTGTGAACAGGTTTTATTTGCTTTAGGTTTCAGAAGTTTGTTTACGATATGTCTTGGCGTTGGTTTCTACGGGCTTATCCACTTTGAATTTGCTCACCTCAAGTCTGTAGGTTGATGCCTTTTGTCACATTTGGGACGTTTTCAGCTATTATGTCTTTGAGTACTTTTTCAGCCGCCCTCTCTCCTCTCCTTCTGGGACTCCATGAACGTGAACGTCAGATCTTACGGTCCCGCGAGTCCCTGGGGTTCCGCTTATTTATTTGTGTTTCAGTTTCTCTGTTGTTCGGGATAGCGCCGGTTCTTCCGGCTCCCTGATCGTTTGTCCTCTCCATTCTGCACTGAGCCCATCCGACGAGTTAAGTTTCTGTTATTGTGTTTTTTTACTTCTAAATTTTCCATTTGGTTTTTCTTTATATCTTCTATTTATCGAGGCTTTCTATTTTTAAATTTTGTTTCAAGAGTATTCATAATTGCTTGTTGAAGCATTTTTTTCATGGCTGCTTTAAAATCTTCGTCAGATCTTTCTAACATCTCTGTCACCTTCATGTTAACATCTATTGATCGTCTTAAATTTAGTGTTAGTCTTGGTGTACGACAAGTGATTTTTGATTGAAAACTGGACATTTTGAGTGTTGTGAGACGCTAGATATTTAAATCTTTTAAGTGGCTGCTTCTCACATCCATCAGCATGACATGGGCGAGCACCTCATTACTGCCAGGTTGGTGTCCCCACTGGGCCTCCACTGGTACCCTCGGGGGAGGTCTCATTACCACTGGGGGCGGAGATTCTGCTTCCCACAAGGCTTCCGCTTCTACCGCCCTGGCCAGGACCAGTGTGGGCATCTTGCCATTATGCCTGCGTAGTCTCCAGTGATATTTTCAATACCGAGAGTGGCGACAGCCCGCTGACCTCACTGCAGTCGGGGGCGGGGCTGCCACACGAAAGCTAGCTGTGGGGGCAGGGGCGCGGCGTCTAGGTGCTGCACTCAGGCTTTGCTTGGGAGCGAGGAGGAGGCAGCAGTGTTTCTGTGGTGGTTTCTGTGGCCAGGGGAGGGTCATAGTTGTCGAAAAGTTTCCTGTCCTGTAGGCTGCCCGTTCCTTGGTCCCTGGCCAAAGACCTGGCTTTTCTTGGTGCTCTTCTGGTCTGCACCTGCTGGCATTTCTGGATCGCCAGCTCGCTCAGCACCCATTCTGGGATTTAGGAGAAAAAGAAAGCTCAGGGAATTTACTGCTGGTTTTTTCTTGGGTCCTGAGGGCCCTAGTCAGTCTGCCTCCTTCCTCTTTTCAGAGACTGTCTATGATGTGTGTGTGTGTGTGTGTGTGTGTGTGTGTGTGCGCGCGCGCGCGTGTGTGTATATATAATGTTAGGGTTTTAATTATGCCTAGCAGGAGATGTATGGAAAAGTACATACTCCATCTTCTTGGAAGCAGAAATCTCCTTCAGGAACTTTTAAGATTACAAAGTTGTCCTGAGACCAAAAAATATGAGAACCACTGACCCAAAGGAAATAAGGGAATAAGCCACATGGAAACCCGGGAACAGAGTAGCACAGAGGAAAGTACAGGAAGTGGAAAGACAAGGAGGCGGACAGGTTGGGAGTTGACCAATCAACCCATGCGGTTGGAGCACTTTAACCAGGGAGAGTAATGGGGAGCAAAGGCGGGACACAGCCAGGCCAGAGCGCGGGGGCCCTGGTAGGGATCGGGCTTCATCTTCCACCAGCACAACGGGGAATCACACCAGGGCCCCGAGAAGCGCCCTGTGCTGACTCAGGCTTGCAGGGCCTGCTGAGGCCGTTCTGTTCACCACAAAAGCAGAGACCGAGAGAGCAATCGCCAGGCTCTTTACCTGGTCCGAATGGGGGCACTTCTCACCACTTTGATTCATTCTACTGCAGGTGCTAGCTGGGCAATTAGGCAAGAAAATGAGATAAAAGACATGTAAATTGGAAAGAAAGAAGGAAAACTGTCTCCATTTGCACATGACGAG